GGAAAAAATTCATACCAAGCAAACTGCTCACATTATATAGGGAGAGCCTTTTTTTTCTGAATTAGACATTGATCATAATGGTCAAAATAATCTTTGGTACTTTGTCTAAGCTGGCTCATTATCATTCAATATGTGCAACAGAATTATTAAATTTAAAATAATATGGTGCACCTGGTTGAGATGACGATGAGAGATTTGGCTTCCTGTCTCTTCGTTAAGGATGAATTCAGCCCAAGGGTGTACTATGAACTTGGCAAATAGCATTATAATAGTGAGAGAATATTGCCTATTGGGTAGTGGGAGTTGATGATTAAATTTAAGTGTGTACTGTCCACATAAAACAAATAATGCTGTTTTTTTCAACTTTTACTGTGAACATTCATCACTGGTGCTGAAGATGCACAGTTGTTAATTATTGTGTTTTTAACTTGTAATATACTGTAAATTTTGTATAATACTACTGTGACCTTATACAGAATAGAAAAGATGACAGGAGGCCTATAATTATTGTATAGGGAAGAAATGCCTATAATTATCTACTATTTTTAGGACCAGCATGCATGGCCTCTTAATTTACATAAGCTTTAGACATTCACACATTTTCTGCCTTTGCTTGTGGATGATAAATTTTGCTCAAATGAAATCAGAAGACATACTGTTAGATGAGGAGTTAGCCAACTGGGAGCTTGATTATAAGGAACAACACAAGCTTTGGTGCCAGCTAAAAAAGGGAGCATTTATTTGGATGGGATTTGTTTAAGGCAAGATTCAAAACATTAAAAAAAAAACATATCACTATATTGGAGCCTGAGAACGTGTGATTATTTTTAGAGAATTGGTTAAATTATCTTGTGGAAAAGCATTAACCTAACAAAGAGAAACCTCTAGGATATTTATCACATGGAGGTGATTATGACAGCATGTTCTTATTAGAGATGAATATTTTGTGCTCATTAAGGTTACCCCCTTGAGTGCTCAAGGATGCCAAGTGCATTGCAGTAAAGGATTATAGTTCCATTGTCTTGTGAGCACTTGCTATTAGTTGGGGGGATTCACCTTAAAATGAAGGGACACCCTAATAGACCCAGTCCTAACAGAACCTGAACCTAACAGCCCTAACAGAACAGAATCACTGGGCAAATGAATGTCAAACACTCTGAGGATATTTTTGCAAGATTTGAGAATGATAGCATGAGAATTATAGCAAGAGTCCTCTAGGCCTCTGGCCTATGAAATAACAGGTGGGAGGGACAGGAATAGACTTGTCCCTGAGGAGCTACAGGTAGGCTCTGCTTATAGAAATTCAATATATAAGATTCTAAACTCAAACTATAGACAAACCCAAATTTATGCTCCCAAATTCATAAAGGAATTTTTCACTATAAAAATAATTTAAAATGACTTCCCCAGAATTAGTAAGTTTTCCTGAAGCATGTAATATATGAGTGGTTTAAGGCTGTTTCTGCTTCTTAGAGAATGTTGATTATGGTTATCCTGAAGGATGAAGCAGGAGGGTTGCAAGTTTGAAGCTAGCCTGAGCAACTTAGCAGCACCATGTCTCAAAATGAGATGTAGAAAGGGCTGGCTTATAGCTCAATGATAGAGTATTTTGTTTTCCTAGCAGATTTGAGGCCCTAGCTTCAATCCATTGTATTGAAAGATAATTTTAAAAGCATATAAAATATTATAAAATATTGTAAGAAACATATAGCTCCCCTCATTTCTTCCCCTTAAAATATTGCAATTTCTAAAGCATAGCAGAAAGGCAAGTTAAAAGTTTTGGTTATTTGATTTTTTTGTTTTTGTTTTTGTTTTTGTCTTGGTACTGGGGATTGAACGCAGGTCCTTGTGTTTGCAAGGCAGGTGGCGGAACCACTGATTGGGGGTTTTAATGGCCATATAATAGATAATTAAATGGCTAGGAGTTGGCCAGATGTTTAGATGTGGATTGTGTCCAAGACTTCAAAGTGTCTACACTCCACCAATTTGGGTCCAAAGAAATTTCACCTATTTGGATTGGATTGTATGTCTCTTGAATCTCTTAATCTACAGGCTCCTCTTTCTGGTCTTTTTTTCTCATGTAATTATTTGGTATAGAAACTCATTCTTTTGTCCTGTAGGATTCCCTACATACTGAGCATTACTAATTGTATCTTTATGGTATCATTTAACATCGTCCTCTGCCCCATGTATTTTTTGTTGGTCAGTAGTTAGGTCCGAAATTTTGTTTAAATTTAGGTTTAGGTTTTTGGCAAGACTGCTTCAGAGGTGCTGGTGTATTTTTATGAGTTATCAGGGCTTAAATCCACTGCTGCATTGAGAATTGCAAAATGATGATAATTCTGTCATCTCATTCTCGTTTTTTTAGCTAGACTCTTTTATTAGTAACTTTACTTAATCAACTATTTGCTCACCAATGGTTTGGCTAGTTTGACCAGAATTCCATTTGCAAACTTCTCCTTTGTGGTCGAATACCTTGGATTTTTGTAGATAAAGAAATCAGGATTTTAAGCTGGAATTTCGATGTCAGTTTACTGATAAGTCCCCTCTACACAGTCATACAAGCATATTATTTTTCCTTGGTAATGATGAATCTCAACCCCCTTCAAACTTTATTTACTATCACCTGTACTTTTGGGATGGCAATGATTACTCTTTATAACTGCGTTATTTCTGCCTTGGATGTAAACAACTTGATGGGGTGCTCTGTGACTGATTATTTTTTAAAAATACTCAGACCTAACTCAGTGCTTGACATATTAAGATGTTAGCAAATCTGTGTTTCCTGGAAAATAACATAATAAAGAAGCCTCTGGGAAAGTGCACACTTTGGGAGCGATCATGGGCACTGTGGTCCAGCACCAAGTACAGTATGGAATTCAGTTGTCTTCAGCTCAATTCAATGTCTTCTACTTTTTGTTTTTGACAAAATTCCCTAAATTTCTGGCCTATAAAATAGGATGTCCTGCTAGCACTCTCACATGGTTATTGTTAGGACCTAGTAGTCCAGTGAGGAGCTGGGCTTAAAGGCAAGGCCTTAGCAGACAGCACCATGACATGTGCCCACTATTTACTGGCTCCAAACCTAAGTCTTATTTTACAGGAAAATAACAATACCTACTTCTTAGGTTATGTCTCTTAGAAATGGTATATGTTAAGTAAATCTTCAGTAAAAGGCCTATTTTATTTTTACCTGAATGTGCTTTGGTATATTAGAAATGCTGTTTAAATTTATTATTGTTGAAGCAATGTTTTCAATGAATTTTTTTTTCTGATACCAGGGATTAAACTTAGGACCTTGTGTGTGCCAGGTAGGCACGGCATCATTGAGCTAAATCCCCGACCTTTTTAATGTTCTTAATCTTTGGAACTGTCTTCTGCTTCAAAGTGCCTTAGAAGTGATTAAAAAGATGCTATTGTAGGTTTAGTGCTCAACAACTGAGGATCATCACTGTCAGGATGCCAGTCTGGTTTGCCTTGCTTCTCCAGGCCTTGGCACTGGCTGAGTTCTGGCTAGAGGAAAGGCCCTGGATGAAAGATGTCTTGGCAGCAGGAACATTAACACCCACTCTGGAGCCAGGAGGTAGGTGTTAATGTTTCTAGTGGGATCTGTAGCAGTAGATATATTAACACCCTCCTAAGATCCAGGAACCAGGCACCCTTTCTTTAAACCTAATTTGGCAGGTGAAAAGGAAAAGGAATATTTTCAGTTGAGCAGCTGAGAAAGTACAGAAAACTCTGTACCTTGAAGACAGAAGCCTGTTATCAAAGGATGAAACTGACATGGAAAAGAGGTCTTCTTTAATTGGATTGTCTGGAGAGTAACTCTGATGGGTCTTTCTCCAATATATCTGACCTAGTATAGACCAGTGGGCAAGTTAAGAAAGCAGTGGCTCTAGGACAGGGTAAAGATTTATGAGATTCAGGTCAGATTTGAAAGTGTTTGACTTTGAAATATGATTCTGTGACCATCATAGTTGCTAGAGTGATTCTGTTCTCAGTAAGACCAGGAATTACTTCCTGGGGGGCAAAATGTAAATGGAAGAACTAATAGGAATCAGTCTCATGAGAGAAATAACAGGGAATAAAGGCCCTCAACCCAGTGGCTCTTGAAGCTGAGCCAAACCAGCTTGGGGTCACATTTGATCATGCTATGGGTAGGATGTCATTGCTACAAAATTTATAATGGCAGTAAAGCCACTCAAAGAATAAAGAAAAAACCCTAGTTAGGTTTTGATAACAATGGTGAATTTTAACTTAGACTGAACTTGCAATGTGCTTATTTTCTCACCAGTTTCAAGGCCCATTTGCACAACAAGCAAAATGACAAGGTAAACAACTTCTGTTTAGGCTTTCTAAGGTATTTTTCTCTGAATGGTGTCTCAAGAACTCTGACACCACCTCATGTAAGAGTGAACGCAAACACTGGGGATTCTTTCAACATCCAAAAAGGGTCAGTTCTTTGAAATGCGTTGACTTCTTAGAACAACTTTCTCATTTAAATTACATGGATATCAGAGGAACCCAGGCCAGGAGGTGAAAGAGCAAACTCATACTCTTTGACTACAAAAGCAAAAGCATATTTTTGATGAGCCTGCTCTGGCTGGCTTTACAGGCTTAGAATGATGTTTTTTCCCCCTTTTGCCTACAAGGAAGGTTGTAAGTAGGCATAAACAAATGTCTTCCTTATTTATCCTCGTCTCACAGTACTAAATCATTATACATGCTATTGTGCAATGCTATTGTGCAATGCTATTGTAAAATTGCTATTTTGTTGGGCTGGCAATTGCTTAAGCTAATGGGCTTTGAGGATATATCTCAGGGTTGTAATTTGGGATTATTTTAGTGCTGGAGAATAATGCCCATCAGACTGAAAGTTGATATAAAAACTGAACTCATGAGATGAGTAAAAACTCCTCCATCACTCTGACCTTTGGCACCTTGTATCCCAGATTCTATTGTGATTGTAAGAATAATCATCTCTCCACTGTGTGTCACAGGGTCTGGATCAATGTCTCTCCTGGAAATCAAGCTAGCAGGGACTCATCTCTCCACGTTTCATTACAGTGTTCATCTTCAATACAGAAGAAACGGTAAGCAACAGCAGACTTTTCAAATGAAAACTCTGGTTTGGATGATTATTAAATACCTTCTTTTGTGTCATACTGAGAAAAATCATTGAACACTCTCCTCATCCCTTACATGAAATTATTAGAAGCTAGCTAGAGATCCAGATAGAGTGGACATCTAGCCATCATACTCAAGCTAATGATCTTCCTGATTTTCCAACTTCCATCAATGACACAACCACCATCCTAATTACTTATGTCTATGGACATCTAATTTCTAAAGATTCATCCTTTTTTGTTCCTCTGAAATATGGCTAGACCTCTTCACATCCACATCAGTATCACTTCAGTGCAGGTCCACAGTGCCAAATCACCATATGCATTTCAACTCATTTTTCTGTCACTGCAGTGCAGCTAACATAGTGCCTTATAGTTACCTATGTGGGCTGGGCACTATGCTAAGTGTTCTATATGTGTGGCTGTTAATTCTGAGTAGTCAACTTTATTGAATTAAGAAATGCCTAGGAGCTTAGAAAAGTACCCTCTTTCATGTGTCTGGGTGGGTGGGACATGGAGATGTGGCCTTGGGGACCATATATGATCCCTACCCTGCTGCTCTCCAGCACTGTTCTCCTCCTCTGCTTTCTGGCCACCATGAACTAAGCAGCTTTGCTCTGCCACAACCTTCTGTTTCTGACTTGGAGCCTACCAGCCATGTACTAATTCTCCAGAAACTGTGAGCTAAATTAAATGTTTCCCCCTTTAAATTGTGGGTGTCAGGCATTGTGTCTCTCTGAAAGAAATGCTAACTAATACACATGGGTCATTTCATTTGATAAAAACAACATGCTAAAAGGTAGATACATTTTAATGACAAATTTTACATACTTTGCTCATAATCACAGCTGAAGGAGCTGGGCCCAGTTGCATTTATGGTCCTAATTTTTCATCCTTTCATGTGTTCTTGCCTTTTGCTTTGTGACTAATTTCCTGAAAACAGGTGGGATCTATTTCCCTGAATTGATTCTGAGCTTAGTCATGGTCACTTGCTTTAGCTGATGAGATTATAGCCGATATATTAAAAACAGAAGCTTAAAGAAATACTTATATATTTCTGTTTGTAATTTTGTCCTCTCCCCTGAGCATAAAGAAAAACATGTCCAGCCCAGCTGTTGGAGGAGGAAAGACCCATTGATTAGATCCAAGTCATCTTAGTTGCCAAGCCTCGATCACCTATGATCAGCTTATAAACAGCCAACATCCAGACTTGTGAGACCAGCCAAGACAGGAGAATTGCCAAGCTGCCTGAGCTCCAAAAGCCATTATACCATGATTTAAAATCATTTTCCTGTTAAAACCCAGGCCACAGACTAGGTAACCAATCTACCTGTATTGACTTGAGCTCTTCACAGAGAGATAGAACCAATAAGATAGATGTAGATATGTGAGGGTGGATTTAAAAGGGGAATTGGTTTATATGATTATGGAGGGTAAGAAGTCCCACATTTAAAAAATAATTTAATCAAATGAAGAAATTACATGAAAAGGAAATACAACTCATCAAAATTTGTGACATGCAATAAAAATACTACTTAAAGGAATATTTATAGCATTGAATGCAGATACTAAAAATGAAGAAAGATCTAGAATCAATAATTTAAGTATTCATTTTGGGAAAATAGAAGAGAAAATGAAACGCAACATAAGAAGTAGAAAAACAACAGTAAAAAACCAGAGCAGAAATCAATAAATTACAGGTTCTTAAAATAGAAAAATTAATGAAATAAAAAGCGGATCCTTTGAAAAGACCAAGACAACTGGTAAGCTTGGTGTCTTTATTTTTTATGGTACTGGGGATTGAACCCACTCCCTTGCACATTATAGGTAAGTTCTCTACCATTGAGCTACATCTCCAGCCATCTTTCTTTATATCTTTTTTTTTAAGAAAGAGACTAGTTATGAATATCAGAAATGAATGAAGAGACATCCAGGAGTGGTGGCACATGCCACCACTGAAGGAGGCTGAAACAGGGGGTTTGCCATGAGTTTGAGGCCAGCCTGAGCTACATAGAAAAAAAAAAAAGAAATAAACAGCAATGAAAGAAAGGACTCACTGCTCACCCCATGAACATTAAGAGGATAATAAAGGAAGACTATGAACGATACTATGCCCACAAATTTGTTAACCTAAATAAAATGGGAAAATTCTTTGAAAAACATAATCTACCACGGCTATCTGTAAGAAGAATCTAAGTAGGCCCATGTCTATTAAAGAAATTTAAGCAATAATTATAAAAACTTTTACAAAGAGAAATCACAATGGCTGGATGGGTTCACTAGTAAATTCTACCAGACTTTTAAGGAATAAATTATAGCAATTCTCTATAATCTCCTTCAGAGGCAGAAGTAAGACTATTTCCTAATTCATTCTATGAGGCCACCATTACCCTCTTAACAAAACTAAACAAAGGCATTGCAAGAAAAGAAAACTACAGACTGATACCTCATGAAAACAGATGCAAAAATCCTCAACAAAATATTAGCAAAAAATCAAGTCCAGTGATGTACAGACAGGACTGGGTCATGCTCAGTGGTAGAGTAATTGACTACTAGTATGAGAGAAGTCCTGTATTTGATCCTAGCAATGCACACATGCACACATACACACACATACACACATTCACAGATGTCCACTTATTCTATCACCTGTCTAATAACCTATCTACTTACCTATATACATAGCTCATAATGGCATGAAATGTACCCCAAGGTTTGCTAGGCTGGTTCAATATATGAAAATCAATTAACATAGCTCTTCAACAAACTAAAGAAGAAAAAAATCACATGATCATCTTTTTTTTTCACATGATCATCTTAATAGATGCCAAAATATTTTTTGACAATATTCAGTACCAATTCATGATAAAACCTACAATAAACTACCATAGAAATACAGGGAAACTTCCTAAAATTAATATGGAATATTTACAAAAATTTTACAGCTAATATTGTTTAAATTGAGTTTATTAGTACATTTAAGGTATACAGTACAGTTACATTCATTATTGGGATCTTGTACCTTCCATGACAGGTCTTGGTTCTCATTTTTTCCCCTTGTCCCTGCCCTCCCTTCACCCCCTTCTCCCCTCCCCATTTACAAACACTTTATTTCCATGTTTTCATTTTTTCATATATTTTTCTTTTCCCTTATTACCTTTCCCCTACCCTTCCCACTTTCCCTACACCTTTACAGCTAATATTATACTTAATGATAAGAAACTAGAAGCTTTCCCTCTAAGGTCAAGAACAAGACAAGGATGTTTTCTTTCATCATTATTTTTCAAAATCCTATGGTAAGCCTTAGCTAGTGTAATATGACAAGGAAATAAAATTAAAGATAACATAGATTTTAAAGGAACAAATAAAACTTTGCAGATAACATGATTGTCTGTCTATGCAGAAAATCTTAGAGAACCAGTGGTTCTGGAAAAGGAAACCTCTTGGAACTAAGCATTATATTGAGGTTTCAAAATACAAGTTTAATACACAAAAGTTCAAACAGGTCATGATGGCACATGCCTGTCTCAAAAAATTTAAAACCCAAAACAAAACAAAACAAAAAACAACTTTTCAAACAAAAAACAACTATTACTTTTCTATATACCAACAATGAAAAAATGACATTTTAAGTTAAAAACAATACAATATACATTAGGAATCCCAAAATGACATATTAAACATATAAATATAACAAAACTGTAACAAAATGTGTAAGCTCTATATGAAGAAAAAACTATAAAACTCTGATGAAAGAAGTCAAAGAAAAACTAAATAAATGGAGAGATAATGCATGCTCATGGATATGAATACCAGTATTGCCAACATGTTATTTCTTTGCATTGTGATCCATAGATTCAATGCTTCCCCAGTCAACATTCTACCAGTTTGTTTAGTGTGGTCATCAGGAAGTTGATTCTACAGTTTATATGGAAAAACTTAGAATGTCCAACACAATATTGAAGAAGAACCAAGTTGGAAGACCAACACATCCTGAATTCAGAACTTGCTATAAAGGTACAGTATGGTATCAGCGAAAGAATAGACAGACAGATCAGTGGAACAGAATGGAGAGTCCAGAAATAGGCCCATAGAAAACATAGTCAGCTTATCTTTGACAACTAGTTTTTGATAAAGAAAATATAAATAGAAGAAAATAAATATTCCTTATAGTAAATGGTGCTGGAAACAACTGGATATCCACATTAAAAAAAAAAAAATATATATATATATATATACACACACAGATCTCACACCCTTCTCAAAAACTAACTCATAGACCTAATTATAAAACCTAAAACTCTAAAAACCCCTAGAGTATCATAAGTTTGTTAAATGTGGCTTTGGCATCCATTTTTAGGCCTGATTTAAATTGTTTGAGATCTTATATAACCTTTGACCTAGTTATCTTTGGCTCAGCAAAGCCTCCTTCCCTTTATTGTGATTCATGATGTAGCCTCCTTATTCCTCACCATACTGACTCAAAACGCAATCCATTTTACTGTTGCTGATCACAGTAAAACCTATGGTCAGCACAAGGATGATGTAAACAAATCTTTAAAGTAGCTAATTCACAACTCCTTCAGGGCAGCCAAAGGAATGATGTTGTGACTTTAATAAAGGCATATTTCTACAGATCCTCTTTCTAGCTCACTCTCCACTTAAAGATTTGAGTCCTTGTCTTCTTCAGACTTCCCAATACTCTGTGGTCAGCATCCTAATCTCTTTGGGACATTTAAGTAATAACTGTCTGCTGTTTCATGCATTTTACTTTCACTTCTCATTGTATCCTGACACACTGGAACCTATCTTTATTCCTGATCAGGCCTCTCCTAGGCAGTAGCTACCTTGGTTTATGACTACTCAGGAGAGAGATCTCAAGATCACATTAGCTGAGATCTGGCGCATTCAGGGTGGTATGACCGTAGTAGACTCAAGATCTGTTAGGAGACTGTGCATGTTAATATATATAACCCCCTAGCCATTTTTGTACCTTACTTCCGGGTTCTTCCCCGATTTTAAGTTTCTCTCTCCCCGAAATTACCTCAGCAGTCTGACGAAACTAGAGCTTCCACAAGGCGCGAAAATTGAAAAGCAACATGGACTGCGATAGGACAATGAAGATTCCTGCTAGGAAGAAGTCCTTGGCCTCCCGCTCTATAAATACCCCAGCACTTCCTCTTCGCTCTCTCGCTGTCTTCCTGCCTCCTGCTCACCTCCCTACAATAAAGATCTCCTGCCAGACCTCTCGGTGCGTGAGTGGCCTAATTGGGATGGGGCACCCGAAGGGGCATGCGACCCCCCTTTCAAGATCATTTTAGAAAAATACCAGGACATAGAAGATAACAGGAAAAAATCTAGATGACCTGGAGTTTGGCAATGACTTTTTAGATACAATACCATAAGCATGATGCATAAAATAAATAATAAGCTGGACTTTATTAAAAATTGTAATTCTAGTTAAAATTATTTAAATTATTAAATTAAAATTTAATGAAATTAAAAAGTTCTGCTCTGTGAAAAATGTCAAGAGAATGAGAAGATAAACTACAGGCTGGGAGAAAAATTTTGCAAGGATTTATCTGATAAAGGGCTATTGTCCAAAATATAAAGAATTCTTAAAACTCAACAATGAAGCTGGGTGTGGTGGCACATGCCTGCAATTCCAACACTCTGAGAGGATGAGGGAGGAGTAGCACAAGCTCACAGCCTGAGCAATTTAGTGAGACCCTGTCGCAAAATAAAACAATTGTTTTAAAAAGTGTGGAGATGTAGCCCAGTGCAGAGGTCCTGGATTTAATCCTGGGTACCACAAAACAGAAACAAACAACAGCCCCCCTCCAAAAAAGCCCCCTCAGCAGTGACAAAACGAATGACTCAGTTTAAAAATGGACAAAATACCTGAATAGATAGCCTTGTTCAGGAAGATAAAGAGATGCCAAAAAAGCATAGGAAAAAAATGCTCCATATCTCACGTCACTGAGGAAATGCAAATCTAAACAAGGAGCTACCACAATACACCTATCAGAATGGCCACAGTTTGAAACACTGACAACACGAAATGCCGACAAGGATATTGAACAACAGAAACTCTCATTTATTGCAGGTAGAGAGATGCAAAATAGGGATACCCATCTGGAAGGTAGTTTGGTTGTTTGTTGGTTGTTTGGTTTGTTTGTTTGTACTACAGAGCTAAATATACCTTTCCAATAATATCTAGCAATTGTGCTCCTTGTATTTACCCAAGAGAGTTGGAAGATTATGTTCACATAAACATTTGCACATGATATTTTTAGTGGCCCAAACTTGGAAACAGCAAATTGTCTCTGAGTAAGAGAATGGTTGAACAAACTGGTACATCCAGACAATAGATTTATTCAAGCCTTAAAAAGAAGTATCAAGCCAGGAAATGAAATGGAGGGAACTTAAATGTGTATAACTGAAAGATGTCATGCTTTGTAATTTCAACTATATGACATTCTGGAAAAGGCAAAACTATGGACATGCTAAAATGATTAGTGGTTGTATTGCCAGGGATTAGGGGAAGGAAGGGATGAATAGAGAAAACAGAGTTTTGAGGTCAGTGAGACCCTTCTGTGTGATACTATAATTGTGGAAACATGTCGTTTTGGTGTTTTGTTTTGTTTTGTTGGTATCAGGGATCAAACTTGGGCCCTTGTGCTTGTGAGGCAGGCACCGGAAACACTTAGCTAATCCCTGAACCTGGTTATAGTTTTGTTAAAACCCATGGAGTGTACAACACCAAGCATAAGCATTAATGTGAACTATGGACTTTGGGTGACAATGTGACAATTGTAATAAATGTGCCACACTGGTGGGAGATAGAGGAGGCTATGTGTGAGGACAAGAGCATATGAGATTTCTACTTTCTGCTCAATTTTGCTATTACCTTAAAACTGCTGTAAAACTTAAAGTCTGTTTAAAAAGGAGGAAATTAAAAAAACCACTAACAACAACAAAAGATAAAATACAAATCTTTAGTTTTGACTCTCGTAACTTTGCTTTCCCAGTATCCATCACAAACTTTTGCTCTGGCTGAAGCAGCCTATTTAAGGTCCCCCAAATAGTGATTCCTTCCTGTGCTTTTCTCTCTCTCAATGTCTACTCCTTTTCTTTCAACCACATCCTATGCATTTTAACAATTTGGTATTGGTTCTATCTCCTCTACCAGAACTTCCTCATTCCCTTTTGAAGCAATGTCTCTGGCCTCTAAACTCCACTATAACTGCCAATCATGTGGCTGTTGACATTGGTACCCTATGATGCTAGGTAGAGTGTATGGTTTTTATGGAGGTTTTATCAGCTCTCTAAGTGGGCAGATTTTTTTCAGGACTAGGATCTTGCCATACAATTTGTGGAATCTCCCTCAGACTTTCTGGTAAGACTTTAATTCAAGGATTAAAGCAAGATATCAAAGTCTACATTAAAATTTTAGAGCAATGTGTGGGCACAAAGCTTCCATACTGGAAAATGCATTTCACAGGTCCTCAGTCAGGGTCATTTAGAGCCAGCTTCTGAATTCCAAGGTGATAAACCCCTGGGAGATATCATTCTTGTCTCAATGGTGACGGCTTTAGGTCTCCAATATTTGTTAGGGGGATCACTTTAGTGTAGAAAATCTTACATAGCTTATAACCAGAGGGGAGACACTTCTCTAGTCTCATGCTGGGGAGAATGAAAATGAACCCATTTCCAAGACTAATGATCCAAGAGACTTTTCCTGGGGCAGCAAGGTATTACTTTTGGCCTGTCTCTTGTTCCCTTAGATCTCTAGTGCAGTGATTCTCAGTGAGGTGGTGGAGTGACAGAAAATATGCAAACCTTCCTTGTTGACTATATTGCCCCAACCCCACCATCTCTCAACTGCATCTGCCCTGACTGAGAGCCACAGTTAAAACTTTAGGGTAAGGGGACATCTGTCCTCACCACTAAGCACATTTTGCTAGGGAAATCAATGCACCTTAATTATATAAATATCTTAGGTAGAAGGTGTTTTGCCCGACTCAAATGATCTGAGCCATGATCTCGATCTGACCATTTTATCTTAATTGTCTTGACCCTAGAGGGTAAAGTGCACCTTGTTTTGTGGGGAAGTGTGTCCACAATATACCATATTTCTTTGTCTGTCCTTGTGAGAATGAATGACTATAACGGATTTTGTTAGCATGTGTGCCATGTATATTTATTGTGCATACAGGTAGATACATGCGTAACATACTAATTGAATTGTTCTAAAAGCACAAATATTTTGCTGGGCTACAGAAACACATATTAAATGTCTGAATCTACAAACTGCTGATAAACAGCACCTTTTCTAACAAAAGAGAGCAGTTCAATAACAGTGTTAGAGAGCTGGCAATATGTTTGTTAAAATCTTTAATTAGGGACAGGCTTTCCCAGAGGCCTCTGAAGGCAAAATGTGTAAATGGAGAAACTGTCCCAGCCTGCATGCTTCATGGTGGCTGCATTCTGAGCACAGATGGGCTGGTGAGGAAACTGTGAATGGACAAATGATAACAGACTACTCTGTAATTCCAACATCAGCTCATTAGCAATCTGTCAGAGATTTTAATACGTGTACTGGTGAAAATGTAGAAAGGATATGCCTGTTACTGCCACTATAAGCAGATTGGCATAATGGACATTAATAAATCGATTATGTCTCAGAAAACACAGGCATTTGGATGCTCTGTGCTCTTGTTGGAAAAAGATGTTTTAGTGAGCTTTTAGGCCATCACAAAAAGCTGAAATAACAGGGGTTTCATGATGGAAATCATTAATAAATGAACAGCCAGGCCAGCAAAGTAGAAAATATAAGGGACATGAAGCCAACAACTTTCCAAACAGTGAATGATGATGTCTCTCAGTTCTGAAAAAGACTCTGTGTCAACAGCTTTAAATTATCTTGCATCATCAACCTGATTTCCAAATGATTAAAAAAACGTACTATTAATGGTTTAAGTAGTTGCCATTGAAGATATATTTATGTAGATTATGTTTTTCAGGCAGAATTTGAAGGATAATCAAGGTTTAGTCTCTGAAGGGAGAAAAAGAATAAACATTTATGGTGTACCTATTGTATGCAGATTATATTTGCAATCTCATTTTCACAACAACCCCATGAGATATTCCCCCTATGTCACAGATATAGAAGTAACAGCCCCAGAGAGATTACATGACTTCATTGAGATAGTTTGGCTGGTAAGTGGAGATGATTCTGTTGGAATTCTGTTCTTAATAGTGACAAACTAATCTTTTTTTTTTATTGCGCTGCCTCTCAAATTGTCTGTCATGCATTCTGAAAAGCAGCCTTTAGGATCCTTATTACTTTACTATAGGGAGGCACAAGGGCCTCAGGAGACTTAGCTAGGTTCAATTTAAATGAAGCCATCCAATTTTAATGGGACAAATGGACCCTGGCTTATTTGAAGTATCAGCTTTTAAATGTCTTCCTTTATCTTTTCTTTAAAAAAAAATTTCTCCACTTCTACATATCTGCTCAGCCAGGCACGGTGGTACACAGCTGTAATCCCAGCACATGGGAGGCTGAGGCAGGAGGATCACTGTGAGTACGAGACAAGCCTAGGCTACATAGTGAGTTCCAGGTCAGTCTTAACTGCATAGTAAGACCCTGTCTCAAAAAACCAAAACCAAAACAAGACAAAACAAACATATCTGCCCATGTGTTAAGTTAAAGTAATGATCTATAAAATCTAGTTTAAAAATTTTTGAAAGAGAAAGAGCACCTGTAGTATGACTCTATTTATATAAATGTCAAAACAAATCAAACCAATAAAATTTAGAAATCAGGATGGCAGTTGCCCTCGGGCAAGACAGTGACTGTAAACAGGTACTGGGTGACTTCTGCGATCAGGATACTGCTCTCTTTCTTGATCTGGATGCAGATTATACCAGTGTGTGAAAATCATCAAATTTTTAAACTTACAATTTTCTGGTTTTGTGTGTGCATGGTGTGTGTGTGTGGGGTGTGCATGCATGTGCTGGGGAGGAATTGGGGGGAGGCAATGCTAGTCAAATGCAAATTTTATTGAAGTGGGATTTGGGGATGATGTTGTCTTATTTGGTGACCCCTTGTTGGCAGCAATCTCCTAAGCAAAATGACAGCTTTCTCCTGTCAGAAACCAGCTTCCAGCCAAGATGTGGAGCTCACTCTCATTCTTACCTTGTGCCTTGACCTCATCCTTCAACTCTTCTATGGCCAGCCTCCAG